TCTTTTTTTTTTTTTTTTTTTTTTTTTTTTTATAGTTTTATTTTTTTTTTATTGTTGTTTTTTTTTTTTTTTTTTTTTTTTTTTTTTTTTTTCTTTTGGTTTACTTGGTGACACCCAGGGGAATTCCTTTTTCTTTGGCTCCTCCAGATTACACATTGTTAGTGTCATGTGACACATTGTTAGTGTCATATGACATACATTCGGTGCTGTCTTTATGTTGTCTTTTAAAAATTCTTTTAATGGATTTCTCTTCATATCGTACCCCATTTTTGCACAGTGTGCCGTCACAGGTACATATGGAATCTGATGTCATTTCATTTCTCTACCTCAATGACAAATACTCTTGTTTTGGTTAGGGGGAGGGAGGGTGTGTGTTTTCAGTTTGAAATGTAAATGACACTCACCATACTCTATACTCACCAACTTAGCCACAAGAGGTTTTCTTCATAACACATAACTGGCTCATCTCTTTTTGCTTGTGGTTTGTGAGTCTTACTTTTCATGTAGTAATCCTTTTTGCTTCCTTGATTATGCTACAGCCATGAGAATATCAATGAGAGCTGTTATATTTATCCAATACTTGATCTGTATAACAAAGTTAGAACATTTTCAAAAAAGTAAGGCATGGTATGTAGCAAAATACTTTATTGATGAATGTGAGTGAAATGAGAACTTATTGCATTTGTCCAAGTGCCGGTAGTGTGGCACTGTGGAAGGATACCTGCTTTGCATTTAAAACAGGTGTATACATCTTATTCCTAAGATAGCATTATTAATAATTATTATCTGGTTAATCTTCAAGGATCTTTTTTAAGGTATATCTCAATAAATACACATATAGATATTTATATCCACCAATTGTTCTAGAAACAAAAAAATGTAAATATTTACTATTCTAGTGCTTTATACTATATACTGGGTTATATTGAAAATATAAACAATATACCAAATATAACGATAGAGGAGTTATTTCATTGACTTTGTCAACACTTTTTGTTTAGCTGCACAATACTTCTTTTTTCCTTATGAGTTATTTTATGCACAATTGCAAGTTTATATGTATGTTAAATGCTTGTATATTGTAATAGCTATTTAATTGACTGAATTTTTCCCTAAATAAACTCTGCTGAAACATAAGAAGTTGTGTTACTTTACCTATTCTGTGTTACTTTACATATTCTGTTACTTCACCTGTTGTGTTATTTACTTATTATGTTACTTTGCCTATTCTGTTACCTTACCTATTCTGTGTTAATTTTCCTATTCTGTTACCTTACCTATTCTGTTACCTTACCTATTCTGTGTTACTTTGCCTATTCTGTGTTACTATGTCTATTTTGTGTTACTTTACCTATTCTGTGTTTCTTTATATTTTTTGAAATTTTGATTATTTTTGGCAACTTATATTTTATTGCTGAACTGGGCACAAGTTATTTGTAATTAGTATGAACAAAAAATGGGGTCAACTTCTTATGTCTTGGTGTATGATCACAAGCGTGTTGCCAACTGTTGACTATTTTTGGTTGAGACAGAGATGAACATCAAGTGATTGGTCTGGGTTTTTTTTCAGGAAAAAAAAATTGAACTTTTAAAAAATGTGAGACGGACATTAAAAAATTCATCACTTTAAAGCTCACAGAAAAATTTTTAAAATCTAAAGCATTAAAAAAATGTAAAAGTAACTTTGCAAGCAAGTCCATCAATACTTATCATAAGTTAAAATACCTGTAGTTTAAACATAATTTTAATGAATGTTTGGATAGCCAAGATGACTTGGTTAATTGCTTCAGATAAACGTAAATGCTAACAAAATTGAAAATGGGTTTTGTTTTGATCGTAGCTTTCCATTTTATTACTATTAATTTAGTTATGATTCAATACTGAAACTATACAAAGGCCAATTATTACATGAATGACAATTTAAAATTGCATGCAAAAATCAAATTATTTGTCTCATTTATCACTATATTTGTCATGTTTGTTACATGATGAAAAAATCTGAAAAAGGAGTATCATAAGTAGCAGCTATTAATATTGAAAATATTAAGAAATATAATTTATTGGCATTAGCTTAATTTACACTTTTAAAAAAACATTGTTTTTTTTTTGTAAAGTCATTTTTTAAAATTCAAATGCTGTTCCTCCTGCATTATGTAATAGCTAAGTCTTTAATGACATCATCAAAGTTAAAACTCCATAATATATCACAATTGTACATAGCAATTTAGCAGAGGTAAAGAATCAAGGCTGGGTTTTTTTTTTCATATTTATCCATTGGTATTTTGTAAATACATGTCATGTTACACTAAGTTACAGGTAAATTTTTATATCCAGGCAATCTATAGAATGCATAGGGGCATTGTATACTAAGAAGGCTTAGGGGTATTCTTTAGGATGTCAGGGCAAACAGTATAACTGCTTGTGTACCGGTATTTCACACTTTGACTAAAAAGGTATAAAATGCACAAAAGGATTATACTTTTTAACAAAAACAAGACTTAAACAATTTAAAGTACAAATGAACTATTATAATTTTTCTAGATGTTAATTTTGTAAAAATTTGTTGCAACATTCTGAACTTGAATGGCGTCCATTTCCAGTGTTGGAGCTGATCTGATTAAGATGTGTTTATCCATATACATGTCTTCTAATTTCAATAAAGGCTTCTTGCACTGGAAATCTCAGATCTGGTAAAAAAGATGTCTTAATAAACATCTTGTCCAGCCCAAACTATAAATATTTTTTCTGTTCATCTGTGAAGACAGCCAAAACATTGCGAAAGTCACCATGTACTTGGTCACACTCAGGAGTGGAAATCGACACTCTAGTACCTAACTTAACTGTGTGTTCTTAGATCTTTGCTATGATATAAGCTTCTATTCCAGTATAACCTTTTAAATACTAGTGCTAAACTATCCAATATAAAAGTAATTGTTGATAATTGCGCTAAGCTATCCAATTGAAAAGTAATTGATACTGGTGCTAAGCTATCCGAATCTATAAGTATGAGACTATACTGGTGTTAAGCTATCCATCTTAAAGTATAGAATGATACTGGTGCTAAGCATTCCAATCTAAAGATATAAAATGATACCGGTGCTAAGCTATCCAATCTGAAAGTGTAAAACTATACTGGTGTTAAGCTATACAATCCAACAGTATAGTAGTATAGAGTACAATTTCAAATGTGTAGCAGTTGCCATAGCATGTGCAACATGCATAACATGTGTCAGAGGACTGGGGGATTTTAAGACATTTTCCAGTGGAGTCAGTTAATGACTCTTAAGTGATCGGTATTGTGGCAATCTTACATCAGTGTTGCCTCCTGAAATCTGCACTATGGACATCTGCCATTTGTTCACATTACTGTAGTGCTGGCCTCGTGTGTACATTACATTACATGCGTTAACCTGCGCTATGGGAAAAACTGATAGTACCATCAACAAACTCAGAAACCATTTTCCTTGTTGCCAATTTTTAGTGTACTAAAATATTGAAATGTTTATGGATTTTTTGTTTTGTTTTAATTTAAAAGTATTTGATTTCTTTCTATGTGTATATTTGTAATTTGTGGTGTCCCTTTTCTCCTGATACCCTTAGAATGTTGGCTACAGATTTTTCTGAACAGTTTTTCTGGACCTGGCTGTTGGCATTTTGTCAATCAATAGGCCTATATTGTGTTTTTTTTCTGTCGGATGTTTGTCCATTTTGTGACCCTGGGGAAACAGTTTCAGTTATATCTTTTCTCATTTCTAGCCCTCCATTTTGGCCAACCAGTACCGGTAACAGTTAAGTTGTGTCACTGCCTTTGGGACGAAATTTCCATGCAATGACTGGAATGGTGAACTCGTAGATTCATTATCAACTACCGTATCTAAATGTCGTCACGGTTGTCGTCCATTTTATCATTAATAACATTTAAGCGGCATTAGTTATTTCTTATTTCACTTTCCGACATGTCTATACTATGTTATTTGAGTCATTCATTAGGCATGTCCGGATTTACATGTTGGCCATCAAATGTAACTTTATTACAAGACGCCTTAACAACGCAAGACATCTGGTGTACTACTACTAATGTCTGAAAATATTTGTTCCAAACCTTTAAAAATTACGAAGTTTCGGAATTTTTTAAGTATGTTTTTACTTTGGAACTCAGTCACAATTGATTTATAAACTTGTTGCAATGGAACTAAAAATCTTTACATTCAAAATAAACATACATGAGTAGGCGTCTGAATATATTCAAAGAAAAAATTGTTATTTTGTAAAAAAAAATATATATATATATATATTTATATAAAAAATCCTTAACTAGATAAAATGTCATATCTCTTTAGTTGAATTATATTAATAAATGGTCAACATTATGCTCAATTCCTTGTGAAAATGGGATCACTTTCTTACAATTAAGAACTTTTAAAAATTCTTAACTTCCAATTTCTGTCCCTAAATATATTTTTTACAGGAGATGCGTGGAATACATTTTTCACTACGCGCATCGATGACAATGAAAAGATAAAATTAATAAATATGACACAATTTGTGTAAATAAACAGTTTACCTAAAACAACAACAACAAAAACATGAAATAAAATTAAATTTTACATTATAGGCCTATATAACCAAACATTACAGGAGAAGAAATTACAGCTTTGTAAAATTAATTGTGAATTCGATTGACATTCGTATGGAATCACGTACCAAACAGTAACTTGCGGAGGTGGGTGCGGAGGCGACCTTTTTTTTCTTTTTTTCTATGGACGTGTTTTTAGGCTTGTTGTAGAGTTTTTTGTGGAAGGGACGGGAAAATTATTGTCTCACCGTGGGCGATATTAACAGTACTAAATCTTTTTATTAAAAATTTGATACATGTCATAGCCATAGTCAATGGTTTCGCTACGTGTACCGCCCCGGTATACGCAGCCACTTCACTTCACCGGAAGTAAACAAATTTGACCCTTACAACCTGACATTTCAACTAACCAATTTTGCTTTCAACGGAATGGTTAACAAATTGAATCTCTAATGTCTATTTTGTAGGCCTTTTAAAAGTATATTTGTAGGTACTGTAGTTGAAATTTTAAATTGTGTCAGATTGCCTCAAAAATTCAGTGACAAAAGCCTTTGAAAAGACGCATTATTTTAAATACTTACTTGGTCTTGTAGCTGTAACTGTGTAGTGTGTAGTTGGAGTAGACGCACAGACTCACAGACTGAAACTTATCTATTTAATATTGTCTGAAACTACGTTACTAATCGTTACTGTGCCTCCCCATATTCTACATCCGTTAAAAAAAATCCTCAAACTTTTTTAAGGTATAGATAGCCTATATGAATCTATGAACGTAAACTCAGAAATATATTGCATATCATTATTATTAGTATTAGGGACCTCGGCATCGACCGGAAATACCCGAAAAACGGGTATCGTATTTTCGTTGTCATAATGGCGACCTCTACTTTTTAATTTACTGAGGGTATCGTTGTTTTGCGTTTCACAATCGATTTTTAGCATAATAATATAATTTTACTTCCGCCAATTACTTAAAGCCGACAATTTTCCTGTGATATTAAGAGTTCGTTTGATTTTTTAGGTCAAGATTAAAGCTTTGAAAATTGAAGTTAAAAATCGGTCAACTTCACTCAAGAATAACATTTTTTTTAAAATGCACTCTTAAATAAAAATACTCCGCTCTTTTAGTTTATAAGTTCATTTAAAACATATCCAAAATTCATAAGTGTAGACCATGGGTGGGCTTCAAAAACGAATTTCCAAGATGTCATTTTTTTTAGGCTATGTAATTTGTCATCATGGCCACCGTGCTTGTCTGCTTATTTCCAATTATCGATAGCAGCCGTGGGGGTAATTAATAATTCATTAAGTTGGTTATCCAGAGTGTAAATGGGAAATATAACTAATAATAAATCATTTTATATAAATAAAAAATGTTTTATAACATAAATAATTATTATTGGCTTATTGAATATCAGTGATTTTAATTTTTGGGTTGGTTGCCATGGACCTGGCTGACACTGACATGGGAATGATAAGCTCTTGTCTTTGACTTAGATAGTGATAGGCTTAGTTTAAGTATTATAATAGTATTTATACTATTATAAATGATTTAAGGAGTGGGATAAATAGCTTTTATTACAACTAATATATTTATCATTTATATTAGTTTATATATTTATAGATAAATATTTATTTGTATATATATAATATATATAATGACCATTAGGCATTAGGCTAGAGGCCTTGTATACATATAATATAGTATAATACAAAGTATACTATATCAGGGTTAAGGCCTAGACCCAACCCAACTAATTTGTAGGGCCTATTATAATAAATTATATTTAATGATATTTTAGGATATGTAATAAAATTTTAATGAATATTGTGATTCTTACTTAAGGCATAAACTAAGTAAAACATTTTGAAATATTCACTTACCTTTGGTATTGAAATATCCTATATTTAATCACATATCACAATATTCCACAAGAGAATTATTATATAATCCTCGGTTTCTCAAAGAAAAAACACACTTTCTGGCACTACAATCCAAGAATTACTTAAGATATAATAACCTGTACTTACCTCTAGTAAATGACTAGAACTTATTTTATTAACAGCTAAAGTCAAAGTTGATTCTAATAATACATGTGGATTTGTAAAACAAGATTACAAACTTAAAATAAATGACATGCTGATTGTTTTGTCATACTCATAGGAATAATATAATATATAGTATACATATGTAGAAAATGGTAAAATAAAAAGTGTAATTGTCAATTTTAAATAAATAAAACAAATAATCCCTTTATTATTTGTTTATGCTTATAAATGCTAAACAATTCCACAGAAAATCTGCAATTAATATCTAAAGAATATTATTATTATTATGATTGTTGGGAAATTAAAAACAAAATTAAAACAAAATTTTAATTAATTAATTACAAATAAGTGATGAGTCAGCATTTTTATACATTTTTAATAGGCAAATAATAAAGTTGTTTTTTTTAATATTTGCGGCACATTAACAAAAACTAATGTATATTTTGTGGCTTTATTTAGAAGTACTCTTATTTAACTATGTTCCCTGTAAATATTATATTTTTGTCTCATTTTATAATAAAGTTATAGGCGTTAAAAAAAAAGCAAAATGAGGGTCACAAATGCGGAGGAAAATCCCATAGGCCCATAGTAAAAAAAGTGGTTTTGAGGTCCCTACTAAAAAATTCATAACTTTTGAACCACTTGAGCTAGAAAGTTGATCTTGTAATCTATTCTCCAGGCTCTATACAGCTGTAGTATTTTTATATTTTTAAAAATGTTTTGAAATTTTCATCAAAGTGGCTATTATTATTATTAATATTATATTATGATATATCCATGCAAAACATTATACATGATATAGTGAATATAGTGTAGTTGTAGATACTTTCAATTTGGTACAAAATTTTGTAAAAATAAACCAATGGCATAGTTGAATAGAGCTAATTCTTTATAGAATTATAACACCAAAATCATATTTCTAGCTATTGAAGTTTTAATTTTAAAGTTAAAGTTATGAATTTTTAAAGTACGACTTCTTTTGTCCTTGAACATGGACCGCATCTCCACATTCTGTGACCCAATTCCGTTGTTTGCGTCACAAGCTATATAACTCTTGTTTTAATGATAATTTTATAGACTTTTTATTTTCTAATGCAGTATTAAAAAATAATTTTTAAAATGTCTTATAATTATAGATAAATTGTAGCTTATCTAACTATGCAATATGGAGGCCTATATCAGTAAATTCAATATAATGTATTAACATATGGCTTTTCTGTTTACCAAATCTACGGCATCCATTATACTGTATATGCTCTATAGTCTATATAAGGCAACGCATACTTATCCAAATACTGTTTTAAACTACTTGTTTTGAACTTTCAACTTTGTCACATGACTAATCAATTAAAGCTTTTCCTGACCAATGGTTTTATTGTTTTTGCTCACACTCACAGCAAACTTTTATGAATGAAACTTTGAGATAAAACTACGGTATAGCCATTATGTAAGTGACTGTGAATGGCTGCCCATGGCGTGATGTTTTGCACACGTCAAATTATGATCATGTATAATATGGACTCTACCGGGTATTTTAACCTCAAATTAAAATATTGTTCTTTCAATAACATTTAAGTTCATTCTAAAAAATAGTTTATCAAATATTTTGATGTAAATAGTAGTTATAATTAAATTTTTCCCTAAGCATCTGCATCTTCCTCCTGTTAAAAGGGACCATTGCCCATGCCATGTCGAAATTAGGCTGAGCGACCTTATGGTAATACAGGTTATTAGGACAAGCGTTGGTAATGACCTACATCAATGAAAATTGGTACACATATACATAAATATACAATGCATTACCAGTTTTAATATGAAAGACCTTATCATTGAAATTCTATTAAAAAAATTGAGGGAAAGATGCCTTATAGTGACATGCAAATTTCCTCACTTAAAATTAATATAAAAAAACAAAAAAACTCAATGGGAATGTAGGTCAACATTTCTCCTAATGCCAATGGGCGGAGTCAGACCTTAATTATGGGCCAAAAGGGCTCCTGTATTATTATAAATACACACACATAAAAAAAAATTAAAACTTGGATTTCATTGAGCCGACGCCCATTTCCGATACAAATTTTCTAGGATTGTCCCTTGCTTTGATGAAGTACCTACCATACTGTGTAACAATGTGGTTACTGGTAGTATCACTCAAACTTAACCACTATCTTTAATAAACTTTTATTTTTATAATTATTAAAAATTGATAATAATAAAATAGTATTTAATTTATTATATAGCTATCAAAACTTACCAACAAATGTAACTTACACAGTTGTGCTCAATACAAAAATAAACTCTTTAGGAAAATTACAAGGGCATGCTTGGTTAACAAACCTATCTACTCATTGATGAGGAAATCTATTTATTCAAGTATAGAAGATTAAGAATCATAATCATAGACAGTACAACTTACAAGAGTATCAAACCAAATCCCAAAAACATACCCGAAATGTTGGTCACTAGTCCTTAGTATCCATTAAATTTTTTAAATACTGGGCCTATTTTTGCTACTTGAAATTGTCACAATATTGGCAACAAATTTTTTAAGTATTGCCTACTTAAAGTAATAGTTTTAAGTGTTAAGACTGGGCCTACGCCTACACAAACTTAGATGTTACAAAAAATAATTTTTATTACACTAATTATTGAATTATAGTGAGCTAGCTTGTTTTGTTTCCCCCTCTTTCAGTTTCCAACTTAATGAAGTGTTCAAGTTTGCATTTTCTTTTTTTTCTAATCCTAAAACTATCTGTTTAGGCTTAATACATTTTTTTAAAAAGATGCATAGGACTGCACTTTATTTTTTCAGCAGTTGATTAAACAAATCATTCATCCAAAATGCTTTCTGCATTAGTTTTGATAGAAAATTTGAGATGGATGATTCCAAGTGCCATTATGCTTGGAGCTGCTCCTGCATATATCACTGTTTGGGGTGTCTGGAGAGTTGTCTCTGCCGCATTGCCACGTTGGGTATATGTCAAAGGTGATGATGTCTTATTTGCAACATACCATCGAAATCTTCTCTTCTTCTTTGAAGTGGTTACGGGTGTGGAGGTGAGTAACATTTAATTGGTTACTGGCTTGGAGTTAAGCAACATTAGATAGATTACTGGTGTAGAGATGTTGTTAAATAAGATACTGGTGCAAAGGTGGGTAACCTTAAAAAGGTTCACTCTGTTGAAATGTTAATGGTGTGAAGGTGAGAAAATTTAAATAGGTTTATTCACTCGAAGTTAAGAATAAATTGTTAAATTATTGAAAACAAGTCTGTTGCTTTTTTAATCTCATATACCGGTACATTTTTTTTTCCAGCTGATTTTTTATGGGGACTTGACAGCTATTCAAGAGTTATCCAAAGGAGAAAACTGTATTTATATGTCTAATCATCAGAGCACATGTAAGTTTGGATAAATAGAATTATCCTTAATCTCTAGCCCTAATGTTTCTGTTTTTTTTTCATCATAAAGCTAAGTAGTAGACCTATGCATATAGATAAATTGTTTAACTGGGGCTAACAAAAGGTTGTAACAGCAAAATCAAATTATTGTGACATCATTTGAGATTGGACCCAAAAAATTTTAAAACATTTTTTTTTTAAAATAATTTATTTAGTTGATATGACTCATGAGAAAAAAAGTGAGCGGATTGTATAGTATTTTTTGTGTTGCATTAAGGGGTGTCTAAAATAACTCTTAAAAAAATAAAGATAAATAATAAAAGTCATTGACGTGTTCACATAAAAAATTATTATTTTGCTATGAAGCCGGCAGGCAATAACTGCCCTAGCTGCCATTAATATTTGAGGGACTGTGCTCAAGCTGTGTGAAGTAAATAAATAATGGAACAAGATATATTTAGGCCTGAAAGAATACTGATTATGATTTTTAAAGTGATTTCTTAATGCAAACACTGTGATAGAATTAATACTCTTTTTAAACTCTCGCATCATTAAATTTTTTGTTTTGAAAGATACAGCAATGAAATTCTTCTGCTTCACATACAAAACAATGTGGAAGAAAATAAAACGCAAGAAATGAAAATCAATTATTTATTTGTTACAAAATATGATCATATATGGATAGGAAAAAAATTGGCATAATACTATAAAACAAATATAGCTAAGTGGCATACTATTTACAGAAAAAGTAAGAGATTTTATCAATTATCTTTCATTTGAATCTGTTCTGATGCTTTATTAGGAAGATTATCTTCACCACTATCAATGAAGCTTATCATTTTGTCTTTTTAATGCATTGTCTGAAATGAATCCAAGGAGCATTTTCTTAAAAGGGTTTATTTTCAAAATTGTTAGAAATTTTCCTTTAACATATGGGGATTTGAAAAGGAATTAAAGAGAACTTATCGTTTTCTGCCTCTTTTGACTTAATGTATGTATATATACATATATATATATATATATATGTTTTAAAGCTGAATTTTTAGAACATATATCAGGAGAATAAGTGCTGCTCATAGTAGATTTTCATAATTTTCTCCAGGTTCATTGAATAATGAAATTATGATAGATTATCAAGGTTCTAGTTTACTGTAAGGTCAACACAATTCTAAAAGGTTACCAAAAGCATAAAAAAAAAAAGAGACTGGAAGTAAATAGCATTGCTATTTAGTTATTTTTAGTCTTTATTGTTTATGTACACGATAATAATAATATATATTTGGATGACTTCTTCCTTTCATCCTACCCCATATATCAGATGAACATATATATATATATATATATATATATATATAATAGCATTATAACAGCATTATCAACAGCAGTGTATGAATCAGTTTACTATAGAACAGTTGAATGAGAAAAGTGTTACCAATATAGATATGCACCACATTGAACATTTTCAGTGGACTGGGTGCTTGCTAGCTCTGTGTCCATGCGCCGTGGATGCCTTGGAAGTACAAGATATGTTTTAAAAGATGGACTGAAATATTTTCCCTTCTATGGATTTTATCTGGCAATGGTATGTTCAACATTTTGTATTGCTTTTTTCCTCAGTCTGTGTTATATTCCTATATGAAACATAAGAGGTTAAGATAGTTCTTGGCAAGATAGTTCTTTGCTATCTATACTCATCAAGAGAACTAATCTCCTACTTTATTTTACATTGTTTTATTGGGGCTTCTTTAATAATGCAAAGCCTTGTCAAATAAATAAGGCCACATGTAAGATAATACAGCAGGGGTCATTGCATTTAGATTAAAGCTGTATTTATATTACAGGAAAAGGTCATTGTATTTATATTACAAAATGGGGCCATTGTCTTTATATTACAGCATAGGGTAATTGTATTTATATAAAAGCTGTGGTTCACTGTATTTATATTACAGCATGGTTCATTGTTTGTTAAAAGAGCTGGGAAGTTCCGCAGAGACATGGCTGAGAGGCAGCTTGGTAGAGATGCACATGATAAAAAGCCAGTGAGTTCTTAACTTGCTTTTGCTCAATGTGTTGTTGTAAAACTGATCAGTGTGTAGATGATAGACTGGTAAATGTGTGGTGTATAAACTGATAAACTGGTCAATTTGTGGTTGAAATATTGGTCAATGTGTGATAGAAAGACTTTTCTGGTTTTGATTATAAATGTTCTACAAAACTGTAGCTTTTATTACAGACAAAGTTAGCTTAAACTCATGTCTCATTTCATTATAGGCAAAGTTAGCTTAAACTCATGTCTCATTTCATATTTGACAAAGTTAGCTTAAACTCATGTCTCATTTCATATTTGACAAAGTTAGCTTAAACTCATGTCTCATTTCATTAAAGGCAAAGTTAGCTTAAACTCATGTCTCATTTCATTATAGGCAAAGTTAGCTTAAACTCATGTCTCATTTCATATTAGACAAAGTTAGCTTAAACTCATGTCTTATTTCATTAAAGGCAAAGTTAGCTTAAACTCATGTCTCATTTCATAGTAGACAAAGTTAGCTTAAACTCATGTCTCATTTCATTAAAGGCAAAGTTAGTTTAAACTCATGTCTCATTTCATATTAGACAAAGTTAGCTTAAACTCATGTCTCATTTCATTAAAAGCAAAGTTAGCTTAAACTCATGTCTCATTTCATAGTAGACAAAGTTAGCTTAAACTCATGTCTCATTTCATAGTAGACAAAGTTAGCTTAAACTCATTTCTCATTTCATAGTAGACAAAGTTAGCTTAAACTCATTTCTCATTTCATAGTAGACAAAGTTAGCTTAAACTCATTTCTCATTTCATAGTAGACAAAGTTAGCTTAAACTCATGTCTCATTTCATAGTAGACAAAGTTAGCTTAAACTCATGTCTCATTTCATAGTAGACAAAGTTAGCTTAAACTCATTTCTCATTTCTAATTTAAAAGTAGTCTAAACCCATGGGCATTCTGTCAGTGTCATGAAAAAAACTCATCCAAACAACCTCATCCATGAACAACTCACCCAACCAAGCAACTTATCCAATTAACCCCATCCACATGTCTGATTCAGCTACACAAGTTGTATCAAAGTTTGTGCTGCTGTACATTTACAAATTTAAATCATACTATTATGATTGTTTTGGCAGTAATATAAAATTACTGTTTGATTATTATAACTCTAAGTGGCTGGTTGTGCATGGGTCCCAATGTACCGCTTTGTACAGGAGCCTTTTAGACCACCTTAACATGTTCTACCTTTTTCATTCTCATTAAAATAGACACTATGTTCCTTTATGATTTACCCAGATGTGGTTGGTCGTGTTTCCTGAAGGAACCCGCTACAACCCAGAACTTACTAAGCCTATTCAACAAAGCAAACAGTTTTCTTTAGAGCAAGGTATTTTTTTGGAGTAGTATGAAGTTTACAATAAAAGCCCTTCAGAGGGCACTCTGAAGAAAAAACAGCTGTTCAAAAATGAATAGTTTTGCTAACAATCATTCAGCTTAGGTAGATCCGATCTGACTGCAGCTTTAAATGTAATATTTGAAAAGAACATTTTCTTGATAAATTTTAGAAAACTATGATAAAATGTCTTCATTTCTTGCCAGGAAATTAGTTACTTTAATGATGCATTGCTTGTGATGCCATCCATAAGAACTGAAGATACTGTCACACATGTTTATTTGTAGACTTAAACTTTAAACCAAATATGTTAAATTGGATTATGTCCCTTTGATAAAAGTTCCTTAACGTCTCCTACCAGACTTGCAGCCACTTGAGAATGTGCTCTTCCCAAGAGTGCGGGCAGTGCAGGTTTGTGTCGAGCAACTAAGAGAATCCTTAGACTCTGTGTATGATGTTACAATAGCCTATGGAAACAAATTTGACTTTGCAAAGCAGCACCGCCTTCCAGCACCTCCAATGCAAGGTCTGTTCAAATAGCAGATTTCACCTTTCCCTGCTGATTTGAGTTTTTTTTTTTATATTTGTCTTTCAATGAAATATGTCAGGACTGATTTGAGTAGTCTATTTAAGTAGATTTTTCCATTTTTTTTAAGTTAATGACCTGAATAAGTTTTATTATTCAATGTGTCTCATGGCTGTAATTTTGTTTATATCAAGTATTATATATCATTTTAAAAGTAATTGGATGCTCTTTAATGGATATTTGGTGTTTGTTAAAAATATCTTTGCTAAAATTAATTTATTATTATTTTTAAGCACAAAAAAATGTTCTTAAGTCAACAAAAACATGACATCACAGCTTTACAAAGAAGGAAAATAAAGTGTTTCCATTTTATCGCAATAAAATTGATATTTTATTAGAATGTATTGAATACTTAAATACATATTCCAATTTTAAAAGAATAGACTCATAAATACAAAAGTTATGACTATTTGTATTCAGCATATCATTCAAGGAAATATTGCCCCAAAAAGTCAAAATTATTATTAAAAATAATCATTTTTTTTTTCAAAATACTGCATCAAATTATCACTTAGAAAAATTATTAGTAAGTATTATTTTAGAATAAAAGTTAAAAAAAAAAAAAGCACATTTAATAAATAAACATTCTTTATACATCCCAGAGATACTGATCAGATAATCCTATCCTTCGCCGAGACGATTCATATAAATTTCTTGAAAAAAATTTCTTTATTTATTAAAATATAAAAATGTATCAAAAACAAATCCTGTGACTTATGCTCTAACCATTTTACCCTTGTTTTGGTAACACGCGATTACATTTTTTTGTTATTGTCAGGTTGCAGCGCATGACAGAAAAATTTAAGGCTCTACAGTAACTGGTTCATCCTCAAAGATGTCCTATGTTCCCTAAATTGTTCATTAATTGCTACATTTTCTTGATGCTGATATAGTTCTTTGTATTTTCCATTGAAATACATAAGAGTCTCCCAATGTTACACAGCATGTCTCCTTTATTATCTTATCTTCTTATTCCAACTATTTTATATTACATCTCTTTCTTCTATCTTGGCCAAAATGGTCTGGGAAAAAATGCTTTTATGAGAAGGTTTATTTGCTTCATATTCATTTTGTTAGAAAAATGTTGTGTTTAGTGAACTCCACTGCAGTGCTGTCCTTTTTTGCCATGCTGTACTTTGTATAATATATGCTGTCCTTTTTTTACAAGGCTGTCCTCTTTCCTTATGCAATAATCTTGATTGAATGTATTCCAGATTTCCTAATGGGAGCAAGTAAGAGAGTTCATATTCATATAAGTAGAATACCAATCAGCCAAGTCCCAACGGAAACCGAGGAGCTAAAACAATGGCTGTATACAAGATATCTTATCAAAGACAAGTAAATATCTTCAGTCATTCTCAATTTAATTAAGGCTTGAAGTTTTCTCACAGAGTAGTCCAGATCATTGAGTAATTTTCTGCTAATAAGTGTATCTATGCATATGAAAACTGCATGGTAACAAACAAGTAATTCTGTGCAATGAGATGTAGAATAATAAGTCAGATTTCCGCCTTCATATTATTTGTTGTTGTCATGTTGTGGCTGAGTAAACATGGATCGGATGACATTACAGTGAATTGAGAGTAATGAAATTATTCAGAGTAAAAGTATACATTTTATTTTAAAAACAGCATTATTGGGTCTGTTTTTAAATAACCCTACTTAACTTACTGGAATTAAGTTTAGAAACAACAAACATGATTTTGGAACAAACCCAAAGTTGTTAAATTAGGCGGCAACCATGGGCAAGGTACTCTGTTTTACTAAAATTTGAACGTAGCCCATACAATGAGATATGTTATAGTAATAAGTCAGATTAATTCTATACAGTGAGATATGGTATAGTAATAGTCAGATTAATTCTAAACAATGAGATGTGGTATAGTAATAAGTCAGATTAATTCTAAACAATGAGATGTGGTATAGTAATAAGTCAGATTAATTCTAAACAATGAGATGTGGTATAGTAATAAGTCAGATTAATTCTAAACAATGAGATGTGGTATAGTAAGTCAGATTAATTCTAAACAATGAGATGTGGTATAGTAATAAGTCAGATTAATTCTAAACAATGAGATGTGGTATAGTAATAAGTCAGATTAATTCTATACAGTGAGATATGGTATAGTAATAAGTCAGATTAATTCTAAACAATGAGATGTGGTATAGTAATAATTCAGATTAATTCTATACAGTGAGATATGGTAGAATAATAACTTAGGTTAACAGACCTGTTTACTTGTACAATTTTGACGTGCAATGTATGATTTTGAGATGTCTTTTACGATTGTTTGCCAAGACCCGCCAGAGCTACGATTTTAAGAGAACTGGTTGAAAATATTCACTTTCCGATAGTTTTTCAGATTTTAAAAATAATAATAATTCATAAGTTAACTTTCGGATTATAATTTGCAATTGCATTCAATTGCAGGGAATGGATCGGGAAATACGATTGGTTGGGGACCATATATAATTACATTATGTGTGACCGGGGGGGGGGGGGGGGGGGGTGTCCCCTCTGTAGAAAGTACATACTTTATTCAAAAACTCAAAAATGTTGTTCCAGAAACACTGAAATTCCAAAAATAGAATTCTATAAATCTAGAATGCTGTAAAAATATCACGCAATGTTTTGTATGAATTATCGTCATAATGTTGCCATGTATTTTCACAAATGAGTGTGTTAGATATAGTCAGATAGTACTAAGTAGTAGAGGTATTACAGTAATATTTAATCCACCGTCTGTTCAACGTGCATGTGACGTATATTTTGTTGGGCTATACGAGTGGCTCTGAGATTTTTGTTCCGGGCACCTATGCCAAATTTAGGTTTTCACCAGGCTCTCTGTGTTAAATTCTTACAAGTACACTTCGAAACAGCGAATTCATAAACAAAATAAAATTAAGGCTTGGGTAAAAATAAATATAACATGTATGTAGGTCACTAAGCTCCATCTACTAAATGACAACAGGAGTTACTTAAGTAGGTTACTGTTTGCATCACTAACGAAAGATGTCACAATTGATTAAAAATGGAAATAAAATTATGAAATTTTTGTATTATTTTGCAACGCCCCTGTGAGGCAGCCGCTGCGACCCTTATAGAAAAATATGCAACCACCACCCCATTAGGATCATTAAAAATACTATTTTTAGCGCTCCTTGTTTTTGTGAAGTAAATGTGATTTTATCGTTTAATTCACTATTAATATTAAGGTTTTTTCTTAAAAACAATTTTAGCGCCTGTTGCTCTTTGCCCCATTGTCATGGTCCCGCACAAGGGCAACGAGCCCTCAGGGCGATGTGGCTTTTATTCTGGGAATCACTGGTCGCGCCAACCAGCTAGCAGTGAAAAACCATGTCACATTTTGTTTAGTAATGTACCATCATAATAATATAAAGATTATTGGGGGAGGGATCGAAAGCCCGTTGTACGTACTCGAAAAGGGGAGGGGGGTCGTAAAAAAAATGCGCATGCAACAGGGCAAGGGGGTACAAAATTTGACTTTTTGCGTAAGTACTATCTAGATGGCCCCCTCTTCAAGTTTTTATTCTTGGGTGCTGTATGATGTAATGGTATGACATAATTGTTTCTCACCGCTGAACCGCAGCGATAAAACTAGAGAATGCATTCTCAACTGGTACCCGCAGCAATATTAGATCAATGCACTGTGTGTTGTTTCAATATCATGGTTTTTCTTTGCTATTTCTCGGTTAAACTTTTTAAGACCTATTTTTTAATTAGACTTATACATAGAAGAGGGGTGCTTCATTGTTTTTGAGCGAAACGAAGGTTTATCTGTTGTGATTTGAAGTATTATGTTATTAATATTCTTCGCTGTTTTTTTTTTTTTTTAAATTAATACTGTTGCTATGGCTACCCCAGGCCCTTGTAGGGTGACTAAGTTTCCTTGACGATTAACAGCTCAACAAGCTTTGAATATGTTTCATACTATTTCTATTGATAGATAAGATGATTTCGATTTAGATCCATCACACGTTTCCATAGTAGTAGTTTCAGATGATTTGAGTTATAGCAGTGATGATGATGTATGTCTACTTCAAAGGGTTTGGGGGGAAAAAAAGGTTTTTGCAATGTCATGTTTTAACATTTTAAGTTTCATTTCCGTTACTTATTTTATTTAAACTGAAGAAATAAGTTTACACATATAGTCCTTTCAATTATTTTTAATTTGATGCCAAATTCAGCCTTATAAACCAAACAATATGTTAAATATTTTTTAATAAACCCAATATCTAACTCTTTTTTGCTCTTTAAAAAAATTTACATTTTTCCACAGTGAAAGAGTTGATTCTAATGAGATTTATGAGAATAATAAGTGGGATTAATTTTTTTTCTTACCGCTACTTCAGTTTTAATATTGAGAAAGTTTTTGGGTTTTAAAAAAAGCTATATTTGCAATTTCATGTGTATTTCCAAAAAAGAACCACAGATAATGAAGATGATAGAGCTTAATGTCCTAATAAGAGTTATGCTTAATGTTATATAATGTCCTTACAAGAGTTATGATCGCTTTAAAAGAGCTATCAAATGGAATAAAATTAATTTCTGGCTTGAACAATATATTTCATTGAACATTAAATAATAAATAAAATACCTTTCAGATTGTTAAAAGAGTTTTACTCGGCTGAATGTGAAAATGATGCAAGATTCCCTGGCATCCGTGTTGTCAAACCAATACCACTGTCATCACTCTTGCCATCAGTCATGTTGTGGAGTGGAACTGTCATTGCAGTTCACATGTTCCAACAAAGTCGTCAAGTGTACTGGACCTTTGGGGTTGGTGCCGCAACGCTCGGCTTGTTGTGGATGTGCATAAGACATTAATGTGGGCCTATCAGTTAGACTGCTGCTAGATCCATCAACTTTGGTTATTTTAAAAAATGCATTGTTCTTTTCATCTATTTGACACCAAACAATTTACAATTTTTTACCCTGTGAATTCCCCAGACAAAAAAATAATTGTTTTTTAAACTCTGCTTTTAGTTTTAATAGATTTGGAAAAAGAAATCAATTTTGTGGCATAACTAGTTGAAATAATTTAAATTGTATTCTGACATAACTAGTTGAAATAATGTGAAATGTATTCTGACATAACATGTCATTCAAGAAAACAATCCCAGATGTGAGTGAATAGTTATGTTTTTAAGTTTTTGTCAACCATATAAACAACTTTTTACAATTTTTATTAGCCATGTTTTTGTACATAACCTTGACCTTGTCATATGGCAACCTTCATGAGCATATTCTGGTACTAAGCTTGTCATTCATTGACTAATTCATCTTGAAAATATTCTTGGGGTACTGGCATGCCACAAAAAACATCCCATGTACATGTTTCAGCATTCTGGAGAAAGGGTTAACCCTAAAACTGTCAAGTGCATTTTTCTGTATTGTCAAGCCATTTTTAGCCTTTTCATATGCTTGTCAAAAAATTTTTAAATCTCCTATTAAATGAATTCAGAGACCCTTATAATATACATTTTTCTGAAATTACATGGGGCAAGGTATCTTATGGTTGAAAAGAATTTGGTTTTTATATTATATTTGTTGATTTTGACCCTTAACCTTACAGAGTGAGTAACATTCTACCACTCAATTTTTTAATTTAACCCAATCTAATGCTCCATAATTCAAAATAACATAAAATCAAGTTTTTGAGATACTAGGAGCAATATTCTTTGTCAAGTTAAAGGTACTTTGATTGAAAATTGTAATATTGGTGAATTTTTTGCATTACTATCTTCAATTTCTGTGATACAAAATACTGGGGGGTAGGCATTAAATGAGTTCAAAAATTCCTATTCAGTTGAAGTTATTAAATCCATTTTTTATTTATTAATACACAGAACATATAATATGTCTTTAAATCTCTAGAGTTAGTCTTTGGGATCCAATCTTTGTCTATTCTGTTCCATTTCCACCTTTTTCCAAACGAATTTGTCTGTAACAATATGACTAAGCTTAGGGCTAAAATTGTTAATATCTGTCGACCACCGCTAGAGCTAATACTGGCATTACTAGTCGGAGGAAATGTCTGAAATCATTGCTTTCATTTTAATCTATTTTAAATAATTCCATTAAAGAAAATCTTTGTTGATTTTGCATTCTAGAGGGGGAACCTCTGCAGCATCTGAGAAAATTTAGCAAATTTCACATCCCATTTATCACAAGGAAAGCATGTTTAACACAGATAGAAACGTACATAAGAAGCAAACTCATTTATATAGAGGGATTTCCCCCATAACCAAATATACATTAAATTAATAGTTCTCATTTTTATTGAAGTTTGAAATTTTGCTAGCAGCAGATTATATTGGCTTTGAACTTTGACACCACAGAAAGGGGTTTGAGGGCAGATGATTTGACCACTATGATAGTTATAGGGTTAAACTTCAGTCTACACTCTTCAGTGTCTTTTTCCATTGTCTCACAGGTGCCTGTCTGACCCATGTTAACTGACAACCTAAATATGCAACTGTTAAACTCTACTGCTTCTTAGCCATAATCTTTCATTTATATGTTTGTTTTTATCTCTAGCCCACAGGTGTTGAATGTTCAGATTATAATCATTTCCTCATGAGTATGAAAGTTAGGTTAAAGAACTTAAATTTTGAAATAAGAGTAATTACATCAAGAGGATGTTAGCCTAGAGTAGGTAAAAGTTTATTGAAGAATTACCCTTTTTTTTATATCAATATTTTAATACCAATTTATGTCCTGTCTGTCCTTTTAGTCAGCTGCATTAAAAAATCAGCTCTGTCAATGACATAGACAGTCTTATTCATGAAATCAAACACAATTCTCACTGGGTTTTTTTTTTGGCTAATCATTTTATCTCAACAAATGTTTGTGTGGTTTTTGTCGAATTTACTTTAGTAAGTGTTAAATATGTAATTTTTATGATGGCAGCAAAAGGATAGAATATACTTAAAACCTTTAAAAAATGTCTTATTTTATCATCTGTACTGATGTGTTTAGTTCTTGTCACCAAAGTCACAGACAATAAAAGATAAAAACTAAATCAAGTAGATACGATAGAAAAGATTGAAACAATTTCCTTCATTAATGCGTAAAATATATTTTTTGCAAAGTGTTATATTTTTTATTTGACATCATTTTATTACAAGTACATCGAATCGATTGCTAACTGTATTGGATTTCTGTTGAATCTTATAATTATGCCGATGGTTTTCTTCAATTAAAAAATTTCCTTTTGACAAAGATTCCACTTTGGAGGGGAAACGATCACCATTGTTGACAAGTGCACAATTGAAGAAAAAAAATGAAAATTTCTGACATCCTGATATCAATCACATCGGTGTTTAGTTTTTCTATTCTCCAATTTTTTCAACTGGTTTGCAATATGCTGTATCTGCTTGACATTGCCTTCAATGATTGTGTCCAGGTTGAGCCACATGCCACCCGTAGCCAGCACCAAATGGCTGTAAGCATCCTTAGTCAAAGAAAAAAATACAAAATCCAATAGGCACAAGAAAGTATTGTGATCTTATTTCCTTTGACATGTTTCCAAAGGAGAAGGTTGTAAAAATATGAATCAATTTATTTAGTGATTGAACTTAAGAATTTTTCAAATTATTTATTTATGGAAATGTTACTATATCCTAAGCATAAATGTCACCATTTAAACAAAAGTCTCACCAGAAACGAGACCAAGGGAGATTACTGCCATGTTTTAATGTTGATTGGTGAAGAGCAATCATTACTTTAAGCTGATTTTTTAATTTTATTGTTCTGATCATTAGTGGTCATGTACTTTATGGTAAATTGACTTTTAAGAATTCACACAACAAAGGCATTGAGAAATAATGTTATGCAACACATAAGGCAACCAATTATGAATGCAAATCAATTTGTTTCATATAAATATACTGTTCAATAGATTTGATTTTTTTTAAAATTCTAAACCATTCTATGGTAAGGGTGGAGTTGTTCCCCTTTGGCTGGGGGTTTCAAATAAAAATTCCTTGCACCCAGAATTGAATGGGTCAAAACAAATAGAAATGGAAGGTTTGTATTTTTGTAATAGAATTGTGCAACCAGAAGTTGTTATTGTTACTATAAAAAATGGACAGTGTTAACAAGGTTTATGTGTAGTGTGTTGTTTTTTGTATAGTTAAACTATGCTATGTACATATGCCTCTGTTGTATTTTAGGATTGAATAACTTTGATAAGCAAATAAACAGTCAATAAATATACACCCATGAATAGACTTATATTTAAACTTGTTTTTGTTTAGTCCAATTGTAGATATTGATTTAAGCTTGTATTTATTCAGTCCAATTGTACTATATGCTCATAGATTTAAGCTTGTATTTGTTCAGTCCTATTGTAGAAATAGATTTAAGCTTTATTTTGTTCAGTACAATAGTAGCCATAGATTTAAGTTTGAATTTTTTCAGTCTAAATGTAGACATAGATTTAAGCTTGAATTAGTTCAGTCCACATGTAGACATAGATGTAACCCTATCTTAAGTTCAGTCTAATCGTAGACCTATTCCTGTTTGCTTACAAGTATAATTTAAATTGGGAATTTTTTCTTGCAGTTTTTTCAAACCTGATGACTATGGTGTCCGCAAGACAAAAGTAATTTTGTTTCATATTGTTTCAGCCAATAAAAACTGCGATGTGGCTTTAGGAGGTTCATGATCTGGGACATATGGGAAAACAATGTAATGAAGCATTCTCTTAGTACTAACCTTAGGAGTTGGAATGTACTTTTCTTCCCCAATGACTTGACCATTGGACATAAGGCCCACATTTTGGCCAGTCAAAACTGCAGGATGGGTTGATGCTGCTACCAGAGTGATCCCCTTTCTTTTTAATAATAGTTCTAGCTTATCCTCATCCTTCTTAGGATCAACCTGTAACAAAAGATTGCAAAAGAAGATGTTAAAGAAAGGTGCCAAATTAAACAATTTGGATGTTTTTAATCCTATTTAATCAGCAACAATTATTATTTTTGGAGGAAATAATAAGTATTTTCCTAGCAGAAAAAAGAAGCAATGTTTTTTTTTTGTTTTTTTTGACACCCGTCAATCACGTAGGATGAATCACAAGGCCTGGGATTTTTTTAGGAGAATAAGCTGGTTCCTTTGACGGAAATTCATTTCTCTCCATGCATCTGGGAACCCAATGGAACATCATGTGTGGATGATAAAACCTGGCACCAATAGCATCACAGGTGTTGCCAAAATGATAATAATAATAGGAGTGAGAGAGAGATTCCAAGCAGGTTAGGTTGAAAGGAAGTAAGTGAAAAAAGTTTGGGAAAACCTGAAAAAGAATTAGAAAAACAACATACGTATTGGCAAGAAGCCTTCTCCAGCGAACAGTACAACATAGAATAACACAAAAATGAAAACTTAGCTGAAATGTTGTATCCGAGAGGTCAGCAAGAGGATGATATTGATATCCTCTCGGATACATCACAAGTAGTGTTTCCTGTTGATGATAAGCAGTTTTTCCTTTTGTCTGGCATCCTTATTTTCTTTGATGACAACAGTTGTCTCTCCCCCCCCCCACTCCTTCCGCTCCAGACCACAAATAACAACCTGCTCTATGCATCCACCCTTACAATAGAAGTTTAAAATAGTTTTAATGTTCTTGAACTTTCTTGTTCGGCTGAACATATCTATTTTTACCCTGCATGTATGATAGATGATAGTTGCGCACATGGTCAAAATAATATTAGCTTCGTTATGAAAAAATATATTTTTGTCTTATGACAATTAAAATTTGTATAAGTAACACTTATTAATTTGAAACACATTACTTCACCTCATGCTCATGGCCATAGGCAAGCACGATGACTTTTGCTGCAGACGACCTAAATGGAAAGTTCGCTGCTGCAATAATGGCTTCCTTCGGTCTGACATGTTTGAGTCCAGGTTTAATGTCCAGTGCCAGGTCATCCTTTACTAGTTTCCATTTTTCAATGAGCCTGGTAAAAAAATTTGATCTCAATAAGAAATGTGTAATGATGCGCAGCAAGTTAAAGCTTTAAGTTGAGGTACTAACAATTTCATTGCACACTTTGAAGTGAAACAAATTCCAAATTAATTTCTCCTCTCAAAAACAGTTGTTGAAATCATAAATAAGCATAAATTACTATATGTTCTAAAACCCACATTCACTATACATATCATTTCCAAACAATACAACCACCGGTTATAAAAATAAATTTCTTTGGACAATATGTGGTTTGGAGAAGGGCAGGCAACTACTGCTACAATGGTATTACAGTGATATTTAAAGTTAAGTGCCTTCAAATTGGTTCATAATTTTTCATCTACTGTTCAAACTCCTATTCTGCTATTCACATTTCTATTCTGCTGTTCACATTTCTATTCTTTAAACATTTCTTTTCTACTGGTGTCATTTCTATTCTACTGTCTACTGTTCATATTTCTACTGCTCATATTTTTACTGTTCATATTTTTACTGTTCACATTTTTACTGTTCACATTTTTACTGTTCACATTTCTGTTTTACTGTTCACATTTTTATTTTACTGTTCACATTTCTATTCAACAAATCACACTTTTACGGGTGTCCTTTCTATTCTACCGTTTACATTTATATTTGTGGCATTTCCTCCAACTTTTGTTGTGATTTTTCTGAAGATTGCATTTCAGATGATGACATTACTTATAATAATATTACCTATGATGAAATAATTCTTATGATGATATTACTTAAGACAACGTTACTTATAATGAGATTACTAATGACAACATGACTTATAATGATATTACTGACATTACTTAGATGATATTACTTATGATGATTTGACTTATGATAATACTGAAATTACTTATGATATTACTTATGATGATATTACTTATAACAACATTACTTATGATGATATTACTTATAACAACATTACTTATCATGATATTACTAATGCATCATTACTTATGATACTACTGGTATTACTTAAGATGATATTACTTATAACAACATTACTTATGATGATATTACTAATGCAACATTACTTATGATACTACTGGCATTACTTATGATGATATTACTTATGATGATATTACTTATGATGATATTACTTATGATGATATTACTTATGATGATATTATTTATGACAACAGTTTTCTTTTGTGTTTGAATACTTACGTTTTCTATTGTACTTTTAGGCATTCCAGTTTTCTATTGTGTTTAAGCACTTAAGTTTTCTATTGTGTTTAAATATGTGTTTTCTATTGTCCTTTTCATCATTTAAGTTTCCTTTTGTGCTTGAGCAAGTATGCAAACACAAATGGCTTACTTTCCATTGAGTAGCTGGGCCTTGGGATTCTTCCAATGTCCCTCTCCTCCATAGGTTATCAGGCCAATGTGAAGGTCAGAATTTGTCATGCTGCTGCTCAAATGCTTAACAACATCCAAAGAATGGTGTGATCTGATCAGAGAATGGTGTAAGGATTGGATGAACACGATGTCTAGACCATGAGTGTCTAGACCATGAGAGTCTGTACACTGGCCTGTTTCAAGAAGATTAAAAACTGTGGATGAAGTCATGCCATGTGATTCATTAACTACACAGCACTATAACCCTAAGGCCATGCCATGATTCATAAACTACACAGCCCTACACCCCTGGGTTAGATCCCTAGCTTCTATCAAAAGTAGAACGTTCTTCAGCAAACATTTAAAAGTTATTTGTTTAAGTTCAGTTTGTATTAGCCATGTTTTTAAACACATTTCAAAAGTTATACTACTTATACGTTAAAATTTTTGGATGCGATGTTACACTCAAAATAAATAAAATAGTAGGCTACTCCAATAATCAAGTTTTTATATACCTTCTTGTCACACTGACACGATCCTTATAAATAAATTTCTCGTAAAGGGACATAATTAGAGCTCAAATAACATACAAGGTGAACATAACTTCGATAAGCGATCTTTACTGCAAATCCACCAAAGCACAAGGGGTGTCTCCACAAGGAAGTGGGGTGGGGAGGCCACCGCTGCCAATATGAGTTGGGAGGGGGGTTATAATATTGCACCCCTCTTGCAGACTTTTGAATGTCTCCAGGTAACAAAATTTATACGGGAAAGCAAAACTATTTATTTTTGGCAATGTGATGCAACCACCAGGCCTGGGGTTTTCGTCTCATTCTAATTGGTGGATGTTTTACCACACAGCCATCCAGCCACCAAACCGATATTTCAATTGTAAGAATTAAAACTAGAAAAATAATTTTATTCCTACTAACATTACTGGGTTTGATAAACTGATTTGCTGAAAATGTGAAGAATTATTTAACCTTTGGCAAAAATGTAATGGTTTGTGATTAATATCATTATTGAATAGTCTAGCAATGTTTAACTTCAAATTTTTATTTTACGGTACTAATACTCATAATGAACTCTTGAATTAAAATACCAAATAATTGACCTAGCTCCATGGGGTGGCTTGTACCACTCAGGCATTGTTCACTAAACTGATAACTGATTTGTTCGTTAAATGTCGCGTTCATTATTCGAGGTTCCACTGTATATTGTTGACTGGCTGAAGGGTAAAATTTGATAATAATAAATTCATTTAGAAACAAAAATATAAAAAAGAGAAAATATTTGCCTACAAGAATGTGGGACACCAACGTCGAGTCCTTTACTTCGGCAAGCTGTCAAATACGCCAAGACAACACTGCAGCCGGATCTGTTCTTACAAACCTCAATCTGGCACTGTTGCTAAGGAAACATACAAAACACATCAATCTGGCACTGTAGCTATGGAAACATACAAAAAACATCAATCTGGCACTGTTTCTATGGAAACGTACATATTGTTTATAAGTGAAAAGCATTCTTTCTGTTTTGTTCAGCGAAAATATTATTTCGAGCAATCTGTACATTAACAGCTTTTAAACACTCTTTTACTTACAATGAATAGCTTGGGATTGATAAGCCTAAGACAGGGCACCACTGCTGGCCATTTATTGCTCAGACTGGAGCAAGGTGCCAGTTTGGCTGTCACGTTAGGGGAGTTACACGGGACGATATTGGGGGCTGAGCTGACCCTACAATGACTATTGCCTGTCAGCTCAAAACTGTTCTGAAATGTGACGTCACTGTCTGCCA